GGCGGGCAGGTGGTCGCGGAGGTGGCGGGGCTGAAGCTGGGTGCGACGGACCCTGCGAAATCAGTGCTCGGTGCCCGGAGTAATTAAAGTGTTTCCTTATCGCGGCCCCGGAGGAGGGTCCGGGGAGGGAACCCTCCTTTCGTGTACACACGAACTCTCCGGGCTGCCGCATAGGTACAGGAGCCTCTGTCTACTACGTAGGGCTTTAACTGCAGGTTTGGGGGTATAAACAAGGAGCCTTAGCGCTCTTGTTCCAACTTTTAAGGCCGCGTCTGATGAGAAATGGAAATCTGGCTCAAAGTCATCCTTCCCGTTGTTGACATCACCTGAAAACTCTACTGAAAATATTTCCGTTAGTTTACCGCAAACATCAGCTTCCCCTGAGGTCTCAACACCTTGTGAGTATAACACTGGCTGCTGGTAGAGCTCTCGGATTTTAGAAATCCACGGCTACGGTGTGTAATTGTTCTGCAGTGTTCATTTTATTGCAAGCATTAATAAAGGGCTTATCATGCCCTGGGGTGTTGTGTTCATTACAGCACAGGCTGTAGACAGTGCTCTGTTTTTAAAAGGCATAACCACCGTCTTCATATTTTTATAATTATGTGCGAAATGGTTATTTAGGTTTCTGGCTGGTATTTCTGTGATACGCGTGACCAAAAGGATATGTTGTTTGTTACTGAATACCTTTCATTCACAGGGGAAACACTGGAAGTGTCTTACTGGCAGGTAGATCAGTCAATCTTCCCCCCACAAGTAGTTTAAACGAACTTTGAATGTCCTACCAGTCTCAAAGGAGCAATCTGTTGGAAAGACCAGTAAATCTGTCTTTGTTCAAAGATGGAAGAATGTAACAAAGAGTAAATTCTTATGCATTATTAGTTAGGCATGGTCCAGATCCTGTAGTAGGACTGTTTGAGTGCATGGCTTATTCAGAGGAGAATGTTACTGATTTAACTCGCTTGCTTTCAGTGTGATATGTCCAAGTGTGCAGCTAGTTTTATAACAACTTATTTTGGCAGGCTCAAGTTCCAAGTATTGCGTAATCTTCATTCTCTAGATACTTGGAAAATCAAGTGTTTCTGGAGATGTATGATTACGAGTGAGATCTGCAGTTGCGTTGCAGACAAGACATGCTGTAATGACACTAGTGCAGAACTTCATAATGATTTCTGAGCAGAAAATGTTAGTTACACCCACTTCATGTACCAAAATTACAGTTGGCTGGCTGCATAAACTATTAGGCACCTGCCTTTAGATTTCAGTGAGAGGTTAAGGTCTATACAAATCCTTATTTAGATGCCTGGTACATAGATGACGTATGCCTCTGTGTCAGTGAGGACCTATTAGACTGTGAGAGTGGATGGGAATTCTGTAACAGTCACAGTCTCATTGCTTCTCTCCCTGTTGTTTGTTTGAAAAGAAACTGTAATAAAATTCAAAAGTGGCTTTGTGAGGACTCAGTTGGGAAAGTTTTCACTTTTCTCTCCTTTATATTTATCCAGACAGTGCTATCAACATAATTTAGGAGACTGGTTTTGAACACTAGACATGAAATATCCGTAAATGATAGGTAAAATTAAAATAATCAACATCCTGATCATCCAGCTTCTTAAAGTTTTTGCTGAGCTCTTTTCTTCTTTGGGGAATAGAAACTGTGGGAATCTGACTCCACAAATGGGACTCCAGTGTTTGCTGGTATACTCTGGTTGCAGCACTGGGCTTAGCATCCTGCCCTGTCACAGGTAACATGTTCTAGAGTTTGGATTGTCGAACTTATGGTGTTCTTGGACTTGGTGAGATGAATGATATCTTAATAAATCCGGTGCTTGTAGGGTTTGGTAGTGAGTGATTGAGCCTCGAGCTGCATTGCTCCATCTATCTTCAGCTTCACCTCTGCTTGACTTTGCCAGTGAATCATCTAATGATGTAAGAAAAAGAATCTTGCTGCTCCTTACTCTCCAAATCTGTATAATCGGACTAGCAATATTTATCTGTTTGGATGGCTGGCATAACGATGAATGTTTGTAAAGCACTTTTAGCTTCTTAAATTAATTATACCATCTGACAACTATGTTTTATTTATTTATTCTCATTAGTCTCAAATTTGCAATTCCTCTTTTTCCCTCAACAGTTAGGACTTTGGATGAACTTCCAGAGAACTCTTAATCGTATCTTTTCTTAGAGATATGGCAGTGCAGCATGTCACTAGTGGAAGTATTTTATTTAAAACCACAAATGAGGTACCATATTTCACTGTCAAGATTGGCTTAGGGAGATGTCAAAGGCATAAATTAATTGTAATTGATTTTGGCAAATAAAAAATAGAAATAAGTCATTTTAGCTCCTTTTGTTTATTAAGGAGTGTAATATGTGACTTCTTAAAAAATGATCCAACCAAAACCAGAAGGCGTAGAGCTGCACTTTAGAAAGACCTCAGCCTGTAACAGTATAGCAAGGGCTAATTTTCTTTCTTGCCTCCTGTCCAGCTATTTTGAACCCAAAAATCACCAGAATAATTTCTGAGTACAGTAATAGCAAATATTCTTGCATACCATCACTGGCTTGTGGACTGGTTAGGAAGAGTTTAGTTACTTCACTAGACTACTCCACTCCCTGTTAGCAGGTGCTGCTGAAGGATAGTTTGTTACAGTATATTGATAGGAGTTGTGAGAGACATAAGGAAAATCCCCTTTGTCTTGCTGTGACCTTTCACTGAATTACCTGTAATGGCTTCTTGCTAAACTTTTTCTTCTCCTCTTGTCTGTATGTGGTTTATCTCATGCTGCCATTCAAAAGACCATTGGGCTTGTGAAGGCAGGTGTTCAAAAGTTAGGAAGAGCCAGAATAAGCATGTGTGAATTCCTGGCTTATTTGTTGCATAGCTTTCAAATGCATGCATGTTGGGATGTTCTCCCTGTATTGTTTCCTTGAAGGATGTGGTTGTACATGACACAGTGATGCTCTGTATTTGCATTTTTCTTGTTTTCTGGAAAAACCTTGAAGTCCGACTGCACATGTGCAGGTCTCGATAATGAAGCAGGATATGATACTGTTGGTGTGCAGTACTTCGATATCAGGGTGAGGAATGCTGTCCAAAAACAGTGATGAAATGACTGAGTGTCAGTTTAGAACACATCTTTGAGAAGTGTGTGATAAATGAAGCATTAAGGCTGCACAGGACTTTAAGGTTAAAAGAAATCCAGCACATTACTTCTGTTAGTGAATCTGGTGTATTGAAAGAGGAAGATGTCCTGTGATAACCAGTACTTGAATTCTTGAGTTATCCAGTTGTGGAGAGGTTGTCTTGGTAGCCTCAGTGATGTATTTCTGATACAATATTGAGTGCATAGCTAGCTCACGATATGGTGCAGAACTGCAGATTGCTGTCTTGTTCATACACCATTTTACTTTTGATCCTTTGTCAGTGATCCTGCTGTGTGTGGCATGAAATTCAAGGTTCTTGCAATCAATGGGAAGATCCTGTCTTACTGCCAGCACTCATATCTTCCTGCCTGCTCCTCTGTGGTGCTCTTCTCCCCACTCCCCAGACCCTTTCCAGGTCCTTCAAACCCTGGGTGCATCTCAGCCAAGCCATGGCCATGGGGGAAGCTGGCTGTGATTGGGGATGGGATTTGGGGATGTCTGTGGAAAGTGGTGGATGGAAGTATCTGGTGTAAATGCCAGGTGAGTGTACTGGGACTGTGGGGTAGCTGGGGTGTGATGTTCAGAGCATGGACACCCTAATCCTGAAGAAAAATTTTTTTAGCCCAGTGCCAAAGGAGCCTAAGGTTTTTAATCTTATGTTGTGATCAAAAGCATATTTGGAGTACTCTCCAAATTATGAAATCTTAGCTCCTTCAAATCCTGGTGTAAAACAAGCTTCTTCTAATGGCCTGTCCCTTACTTTTCCTTTCTATGTCATGACTTGCCTTCTTCCCCACCTAAACACCATCCATTTTTGCAAAGCAAGCCACTGAAGGTGAAGTTTTTGGGTGCATGACCTGTCATGGTGTTGGATGAAAGCATTTTCATTTGCATTATGGAAAATGCATTTGGATTTAGTGGAAATTAATTCCATAAGGGTGTGCATCTTCATCATATCCATACTGTAGTGGGGTCATTTTCTTTTCCAGTTTGAGATGTTGATTGATTGCTTTAAGCCAGTCAAGAATATTTTCTGTTGGCTTTAAAAGCATCTGCAATGGGATATCTTAGCAAGACCTGTTGCTAGTCTATTTATATTGTGTTGATATACTTCTGAGTCAAAATTCCCTAAATTGTCTCAGATGGATCAGTCACTGAGTAAAGTGCCAGCTTTATAAAATAAAAAAGCACCATGATTGTATGGTAGTCATATACCAGCTCAATATTTGAGTAACTTTTTAATAGTGATTACAGTGAATCATTTTAGGGTGTTTTATTTGAGTTTGATATTGATACATGCACCACAGTTGCAGAAATTGCAGCTTGTTCAGAGTCATGGGCAGGATGTGATCTTTTCACTATATCACCATTGTCTTGAATAATTGCACTAATGTCTGCAAGGTATACCCATTGCTTAAGACAGTTAATTAGTATATTGTAAAGCTTACAGATGAGCTTCTGGACTTCTCAGGGTTATGTCAGATGCCCCCCCAGAAAAGGGATTGTGGAGGATTAAATATTCAGCACAGGCCATGGTACCACAATTTTAATGTGTGATGATTTCTTCCAGAGATGTGGTACTTTTCTCCAGGAACAGCTGTTCAGTATGGTTGAATGCCCCTCATTAGTGCAGCTATAGATTAAGTCTGTTGATATGAATGGGAGACTGTAGCGTGAAGTAAGCAGAAGAGTGAATTTTAAGTACAATATTTTATTAATGAACAGTCAGCTACCAAGTTGGATTCTTTTGTTCCACCGTAAGATTACACTTAATCAGTTTGGAAAAGCCCAGGTTTAAGAAATCCTGACCTGGCATGCACCGGGTGAGGCTGTCATTCATTTCACTTTCTCTGATGTCTTGATGGGCAAGTGGAGATGAGATACCTCTGCAGATGGATAGCTTAGTTACCAGTATGCCTGATAAAACAGGACTGAATTTGAGGTGAATGAGGGTGTTGATCTTAGCTGTCTTAGTTGCTATTAGTCTCAAAATAAGCAAAAGCAAATCCAATTTATTTAGATTCTAGTAACTTGAAAAATTTTCAAAAACTTACTAAGTGATATAGATGCTTTTGACGTAGCTTTTGACAGTACCTAACATTAGCTACTTCTCTGTGTGGCCTTCTTCATAAATCACATTGTTTCAGTCAACTTGAAGTCAGGGAGAGGTGGACATCTCTTGCTGACTAGGACAGGACTGTCCATTTGGAGATTTCTTTTAGTTCTTCCCGCATGGTGGCCAGCAGCTGAG